AACTTGCGCATTACATCAGCAGGGTCCAAGCAGTCCATTAAAATTGAATAAATAAAGAAGTTTTATTCATAGAGAGGGATGGAGGAGTTTAGAGGGGTGAATTTAATAAAAAATAGGGGAACCACAGACTTATAGTCAAATTAAAATGTGGGCTGTTAACAGATAAGATGTCATGGTGATAAGTGTGTTTTGGAGTGGGTCTAGGATTGGTCTAGATCTGGACTCTAGAATCAGGAACCTAAGCCTGAAAATCGGTTTCCAGTGTTTCTCCTTTTTTAATTTTTTCGTCTATAAATAAATTAGGATAGATTTTATAGCAAAAAGTGGTACATAAAATTAGTATGTTCTACGACCCCTATTGGGTCGCAACCCCCAGGTCGAAAACCACTCTACTAGAGCCATTCATGGAGTTTTGTTACGCGATACAATATTGTTTGATAATAGAATGTAAATTTGGTCAGATATACCACCTACTACTCCCATCGTTATTTTGCTAATTCACTAAAGCGGAAAGCGACCCGCAACGCCGGGTCACACTTCTGGCCTTAAGCCAGCGTCGTTCGGATTGCCGACAATCCACTCTGAAGATGGTGTAAGGCGAGGAATTTGACTGGGGCGTTACATCCGTCAAAGAGCATCTCGGCGATGACAGAAACCTCACATAGAGCAAAAGCTCACTTGATTCCTTTTTTTAGTTTTTTTCGATTGTGATCCAATGAGTGAGAGGGCCATTTTAATTTTTTTTATATTAACAACGGACAAAGCGAATTTAAATCATGTCACAGAAAAACAGTTACGTGTTGTCGAAAGAAGTGGTATATGCATATCTAACCCAGGACACGATCACTACCAATAAATAGGACGAATCATCAGGCATTGAAAATAAAATTTGATTTATGAATATTGAAATATACACAATTGAAAGTTTTACATTTCATGCACAACTAAATGATGATACATGTGAGATTTGTGCACATGATCGGTCATATCGTGACTAGATGTCTCGGCCCGTAGCTAGGATTTTCAAAAGGGTGCACCCTGGATTCTCATGGGGGGTCCAAAATCGGATGCACATTTGTTGATAGAGTCGACTATTTATCGAATATTGTTTTGTATAACCTTTTCTGTCGCGTTATGTTCAATCCAGGGATGGCCATTTCCGAATACTAAACTATTCCGAATACATTCTAAAATAATGTTTTCGGATCTGAAATTTCGAATACATTCTAAAATCGAAAATAACACATTATGACCATACAAATGACCATATGGAAAAATAGCCAAGGAGTTGTCTGACGCTTTCTATCATTAGTACCATGATATACGATAATAGTCAAGTCTTGTGACAAAAATACTACTTGTAATCAGATAATTGTGTATATTTTCTGAGAGTAATAAAAGGCATCGGCAATACAGGCAACTGAAGCAACAACAACAATCGAATATCCATTATGCCTTTACAAATTCTAATATTTAAGCCTAGAGTATTCTAATACCTACCAGTATATTTGTATATTAATTTATGTGAACCATATTCAACCACATAAAAAAGTTGTGGCAAATTGCACGATTACATTTTATTTTGATTCTTATTCTTGCGAATTTGATCAATATTAGCTGTCCTTGCAACTCTTACTCTCAATTAAGTTTAAAAAATCACCCTTTGAGTAATTCGTAAGTCTGCGATATAATCCTACAGAAAAAAAATTATTTTAGGTCTGTAGTTTTAGTACACTACAGGTGTGCCACAGCCCACAGGAACAAAAAGTTCATGGGGTTTCTGATTCAGGGAGAATAAACAGCAAAATAAAGATTTTAACAGGCTAAATTAGATGTCTAGCTGGTGAATACAATCCGAGATGCAAACAAAATGCAATCGCAAACGTCATTAGCAACTTTATTTTTCAGCAGTCAAGGGCCGGGGAAAAGTCCACATGCATAATAACTATCAAAAAATAAATGGCTCTTTTATGCTGAAAATGTGCATGGATTCATTTGCACTTCTCCATTTTATAAACTGTATTTTTGACCTGGTGGTTGTCCAAAGGTATTGGTAGTGAATTTTGGAGACGTTAGGCAAACCAATGAGGATGTAATTGTTGTGTATTTTAAACACACAGTAAATAATTTAGTAATCAATAGTGATGAAGTAAACAATTGATTGAAGCTTTAAGTGTCTCACGTTTAGGCAGAAAGTACATTGAATCGCAAAAAGCATACGTTCATTACGGGTTTAGTTTTACTTAAGACTTAGTTTGATCAGGTATTGCAAACCGATTGGAAAAAGGAGAATGTATGATGACCAGTATTCGAGTATGGTTTTATACATACGACAGTAAATGGCGAAGTAGTACTTAAATGCAATTTATGCCTAAACAATCTGAGCAATGACTCTATGAGACTAGCGCTCTTACTGCTTCATCTTAATATAAAGCAACCTGCCCATCACAAAAGCATTTTTCAAAGCAAAAAGGTGGGGGCGTGAAGTTTGTAAAATTTTTCAAAAGGGGGCGCAGTTTAAAAAGTTTAAGAACCATTGCCTTAGAGTGAACACTGCTAGGCTCAAACACTTGGTGAGTCAATTAGTTAAAAAAATTTGAAAAATGACTCATCTGAGAATGATCTAAACATTTTTTATTCCCCTAATTTCAATCTTCGAAATATTGAGTTTTCTTACTGCTTTTCATGCATCAGTGCTTGTTGTAGTCAGGACGAGTTTATCCAATGAGAGCCAGCCCTAGGCTATGCTATATATGAGGTTATTTTAAATATGATATCATAAAGGTGTCATGTAATCCGTTGTGATGTCATCATAAGCCATTTTATGTGTAATGTGCATTACGTCATACAGAAACTTTTGAATTGTGCAGAATATGACATTTTAGTTGCAGGCAAGAAACATGCTCTAATTTCTCAAGTATATGGGATAGCAGGTTTATTTTAAAAATGCTATATGAAATTTGGGCTGTGATAATGCGCCAGAAAACTTGTTTACAACACCGTGAAAAGTATATGTGTGTTACTGGTAATGGTCTAATTGATGATTTGAAAAAACATTGAAAAAATTATCGCTGCATGTTTTGAAATGTTTTGTCTTCAATAAAAAAGTTTCGAGACAGTAAAAATATATTAATATTTAGAAAAATTAGTTTAGCTATATATCGATACTTTTCTTATGCAATAAATAAAAGTATTATTGGGTAAAAATTAGTTTTAATTAGTTTACTATACATTGTCGTTAAAATAAAGGGGTAGAATTTTGATTTGAATAAAACTGATTAATAGTTCAAATTTAAATGTCAAGGTTAGGCTAGGCCCCTAGGATTTAGCCCACTTTGCATAATGGTAAATGACTGTTGCGGTAGTATTCTGTTAGTCAATGGCAATAAAAGTAATACAAAGCTGAAATATTTTTAACCTTTGAGATATTAGAACGTTGGATGAGTAATATTTAAATGAAGCTTTATAAAATTTTAATGGAAAAACTGTTGGAAATGGAAAAATATTAATGAAACTAAACATTGCAATTGATCTCGATTGAAAGTGAGCAAATTTATTTCAAGTCATAATATTATGAATATTGGTTACCGTATCAATTATCCATGAAATAATAATTCATAAGCCTTGATTAATATTAGTAAACCTAACAGTTGAATACAATAAAGACATATTGCACCGAAGATGTTTGAATTAACAAATCCTGAATACAGTTAGGATTTAAAAAAATTTCTATTTGTTTTTGACAATTTTGTATTTGTCTTATGAAACAGCTGAATGAATCATTTAAACCTGCTCTCCTCATTCCATCTCGAACATCCCACTCTGGTCATTCAACATCATAATAAGTGTAAAAGTAAATACAATACTTGACTATTTGAGCAAATTTTTAATAATATTTGATTTTTCTGTTTTGTGAGAGACATAAAGATGCTTCAAATGAACACAATAATTTGATTCTAAAATATGCCAAATAGTGTATAGTATTTTTGCTTTTATAATTATTTTTGTTTGATATAACTTAAACATAATATGATGAAACAATATACAGGTTAATTTTTAATATTAAATCCTACATGATGTGTTTCCACAACTTTACTTTTTATAAGGCTCTAGGCTAGCGGCAACTGATATTTAGTGAGCTACTACTATATATTAGAATTTAGCTATATAACTCAAATTACTATATATATTATATAATAGTTCGGACTATGGCTCAAATAAAATTGTTTTGTGTTGAATATAATTTAGGGAAGACTTATTGAATACATATCAAGCGAAACATCAGACAGATTAAATTTATATAATAAATTCCTTAGGATGTGTTTTCGGGTCTCTAGTTTGAACAAGGTTCCTGGCAAGTGGCAACTGTGATTCAGTGAGATACTACTATATATAGAACAGTTATTCTCAATTATTTATTGCTTGTGGATGTGACCCTTTCCGGAGACTGTTACCATCCCAGTGGCATTTATAGCGTTATTTCGATTGGTAGATTTTAAATCCCATTATGTTCAAATAATTCATGCTCAACAAAGCTATGAAAATATAAAAATCAGTGGGTTTATCTTGTCAATTGAATAGTAAAATTAATTTCACGCTCAGTATTGTGGCCCCCGAAGTTCAAACCCTAAAACATTCAGACAGTGGAATGGTCATAACACTAATTTCAGTTAGTGACCTTTTCAATTTCAGCAATGCTATTTCATTCACTTAGGATTTCAAAAACTAAAAACTATCATTTTAAATTCATCTTTGTTGCCAACACATGTGAAAATCTGACAGCCCGGATCCCAGTGCTGTTCCCACCTTAGATGCCAATGCATAATCTGTTGCTGATTTTGCTATTTTAATTCAATTTTGAAATATTTTATCTTTCTTTGCCCAAGATTTAAAGTTTTGAGCAGTGGCTTTTATTTTTAAAAGATTTTTACATTTTGCCCAACGAGATTATTTTTCAACAATTTTATTCTGATCTAAATTTATTTTATGTTTCATTATAGATCAAGTGGTTGTGGCTTAAAGGCAACACAAGCATGGGAGTTGAAGGTTTATCATCAGTTGGACAAATACTTTCCAATCGATCCTGTGTTGAATACTTGAACCTTCAAGAATGTAACCTGTCACCAGATCAATTACAAGCCTTCAAGTCATCCTTGGGAAATAACACAGAGGTGTGACAGAATGATCTACTCATATTTACTTTTTCTTTAGCTCCATTATATAGCAATATCTGTAAGGTATTGTTACTTGCATTTCGTTGAGTAAACTATCATGGAAAGTTAAATAAAATGAAGGATTCTTAACTGACTTAGAAATAAATTCATTATTTCCCTGATTGGGCAATTTTGGTAAAAAGGGAAGGAACATCTAACTACCGGGGCATAATTAGGTTAACAATATTGTTTTTGTGGAAAAGGATTAATCTCAGAAATATTGTAATAGTTGGGTTTTCTGTTATTGTATTTTATACATTTATGCTAGCTGTAGTCAGTGCGGGATTTAGACCATGAGAGCGAGCCCTAGGCTATGCCATTTGTGAAGTGACTTTTAAAATATGAAGTCATAAAAGTTCCTTACAATCCACTCTGATGTCATCATAAGCCAAACTTAGGCTGTGATAAAACCTTATTGCACCAGAAAACCGGTTTCTAGTCATAAGAATTATATGTGTGCTAAGGGGAATGGCCCAATTGCGGATTTAAATTATTAACAAAATTATCATTGCATTTTTGAAATATTTGGATCTACAATAAAAAAGCTAGTAGGCCTTAGTATTATTATAATCATTTTTAGATAAATTAAATTATCTATATATATATATAATCAAAATTTTTTTATAATAAAAAAGTAGCATCATTGAGTAATAACTATTTCATTAATTTGAATTAGTACGGTATAATATATATTGTCTTCAAAATTGAAGGGGTAGAACTTTGATTTGATGAATTTTTGTTCAATTTTATTTGCCGAGGTTTGGCTTGAGGCCTGGCTTTAGCCTGCCTTGCATAATGGTAAATCTGGCGGTTGCTGTAATATTCTGTTACTCACTGAGAAAAGGAGTAATGCAAACATTAAAGGCCTCAATCTTTCAAACCTCAGTTTAAGATATTAGAACCTTGTATGAGTAATATTGAAATGAAGCTTTATGGAATTTTAATAAAAAAAACTGTAGGTTTTTAATTCATTAACTTCTCTCTGAGCAAGGCCCTTTCCAAGCAGTCAATGTGATAACAATATACTGTACCGAAAGAATATTCTTAATCAAGTTTTGCAAGTTTATTTAAAAATATTTTAAACAAAGCTTTCTGGAGTTAATGGGTTAACTGAATTAATTGATATATTTAACAATTAACAATTTAATATATTTAACAGTTAACACAAATAATATATTTGACAGTTAGATACAATAAAGACAATATCTTGCACAACCAATGATTGAATTTACAATTTCTGGATACAATTTAGATTTGAAATTTTTTTTTTTTTGACATTCCTGTATTTGTCCTATAAAACAGCTGAAGGAATCGTTCAAACCTGCGCTTCTCATTATAAAATAAAAATTTTCTACTCTTGTCATTTAACATTACAATAAGTGCAAAAGTAATTATAGTAATATACTATTTGAGCAAATTTTTATTAATATTAATATTTTATTAAATTTTTAATCAAATTACTGTATAAATTATATCTTAAATTATATCAGAATTTTCCAGTTTGGAAATCCCTACCGAATTTATTACACCCTCATTTATTTACGAGGACAAAGGATTTAAACTTGAAATCTTTGAACTGTGGCACAAACATACTTGATATATTTTGAACATAACTTGGTGAAGACTTAACGACTACGTATTACATGAAAACTCAATGCAGTTTTATATATCAAAAGTGTTCAAGATGTGTTTTCATGTCTTTAAATAGTAATTTCTTCATATTGTGCTTTCTTACCTCTACTTTGAACAAAGCTTTATGCAAGTGGCAACTCATATATGTTGAAATGATACTATAAAACACGAATGAAGTTATGGTTGAATTATGTATTTCTGCAGAAGTCTGACCTTGGTCCAATGAAACATAACAGAAATATAGTTGTTTGTTACAAAACTTTTGAATCCCTAATTATTTAAATGTGTATAAAGATAAACATACAATAACCCTGGAATTTATTCAATAGCGTTTCACTATGAACGTCTCACTATTTTGAATTCTTTAGAAGCCAATGCCGTCATGAATTGCACTTTAAGCACACTATTTTAATTTCCCGTACTCCTCACCCCTTAAAAAGCCTGGCTGCGCCTCCTGAGTCTTATCGAGTGTTGAGGGTTCAAAACTACAAAAGTAAAACGCTGCGCATGATGAATATGCTTGATCAATTGACATGGCTTGGAGCATTTCAATTTCATCCAATGGTGATTTTTTATATTGGGGTCGAGTTGAAAAATCGAAAAAATATTCTGAAATATAAACCATAGTAGGGGCTTGCAATTCCTCTCAATAGTGAGTTTATATATCTATGTATATTGTATTATATATACAATAACGTAGAAACTACCAGATTTTAGAACTCAAAAATAGAGCAGAGGCAACAGGTTAAAAAATTTTTGATTTTTAAGATTCATACCTACAAGTTTGAGTGGATTTGGTTTTCTGAAAATCTGTGTTGAAATATCTATATTTTTATAGCTTTAATCTAGTCTGGTGTTATGAGACTTGATCCAAGTCGAGTTCAAAATTAATTCTAGTTTTAAATCGATAAGAAATTTTTGGATGAAGTACTTATTGTCACTCACATCTTATAGTGATAATTTATAATGAGCTTATAGTGATAATAACTTGAAATAGGCCCTGTTGATATCAAAGTAAATATATATTGAAATATGTTGTTCAAGGAAATTCAATTTACATTTTATCTTAATGATGTCATAATTGCTCAAGTGTCTACTGTTGTGAAGTCAGAAAGTCTGTGTGTTTCGGAAAAGTTTGTGTAGTTTGTTTTTAAATTCAATAGATGAGTCTATGAAATATTACTTGCATATTTGACATTAAAATTCAGGAGTATCCGGGAAAAACCTTTTTCATTTAAAAAACAATCATAATCCTATTTTTGATTCACAAATGAACCAATCCTAAATTACCTTACAGATCAAGGAGTTGTGGCTGCATGGCAACACAAACATCGGTGTTTTAATAATAGATTTCAGGCTAACTTGTTTGTATAAAAATTTGTTTGAAATATTTAATGATAAACTTGGATCCTATGAACAATTTGTTTATTTATTTCGGTTAAACTTCCAAGCTCAGTAAATTTTGATTGAAATTATAAAACAAATAATCAAATTATTTTTTTTTGGGCATTCATTAAATATATTTTTCAACAAAATTTTTTATTTGACACTTATTCACACCTTTCACTCTGAGCAAGGTACGGATAAGCATCCACTGATATCTGTTAGGGTTACTATTTTTTAAAGACATGAAATTCTTTTCTCCGGCTTTATCCACTCAATTTATTACACATTGTGTTAAGTGGTTGCCATGGGATTTGAATCCGAGGTGTGTAACTTGTGATGCAAACATATTCAAGTCTAATGCTTTAACTACTATGTCATCACACTCATGTATGCAAACCTAAGATTCTCGTGTTGTCCTATCATCCTAAAATGTTGCTTTTTGGTAAAAGTGATCATGAGTAAAACAAGAAAATCAAATTGCAATTATGGAGCAGATTTCGAAAAAGAAATAATGAAAAATTATAACAAATCCAAAATTCAATTTATTTCAGACAATACAAATTTTATATCTTCACGACCGCATTTAATTTAATATAGAATTTTTTATCTGTGTGCACTCGTGGGATGGCATATTGCAATTTTTCACTCATGATAGCATCACAAATGCTGGTGCACCCAGAGTTTAAAACCGACATTTGAAATTCTTGGTAGGACTGAAAAGTCACTATTGTATATTCTCGCATAATATACAGATTTCACTGGGCTAATTTTGTTAAATTGCCAATTGTTTCTTTATTGTTTCATGGTTATTCAAACACCGATATTATGTTGGTAAACTGTATTTTTACCAATTTTCTTCATCTCACATGTATTCAAGTGCGTTCAGGCTCCTAATATAATTAAAAGAGGTAATCTGCAACTCGAATTTTTGATTGAAAATATCGGAGTATTAAGACCAACGGCTATTCTAGGCATTGTGCTTTGATCAAATAGCATTGCTCCAATTTCACTGTGATGAATGATGAATATAATTCCAGCTTGATTATTAGCTTATTTACCCAAAGATCAAACAATCTCTCATCTGGTCATCACTCATTGTGTGAGCATTTCAATGTTTCGTTCATTAGTCTCGTTTTTGAGATTCTTTTTTTTTGCTTAAATTTAAGGTTTACAAATTTTTCAAGATAGAATAAAGGTATGGTCTTTATCTAAGTAAATTGCCTCCATTCAATTTCTATAAACAAAAATTATTTTGAAAATTCACCTTTAATTTTTTGAACAGAATTTGAACTCCCAACAGATTTTGAACTCCCTGACAACACGCTCTATTTTAATATTACATGAATATTGATCAATATTAGGTAAATATAAATAATGTATGTATGTATTTTATTCAAGCTCGATTCTCTCTGTCAGATGATTCTATCTGTTTATTTCAATAGATTGAAGATTTGGATCTGCAGGAAGAGCGTATTGCAAACCATGACGATATTGTTGCAATTGCAAATCTGCTTCCTAACGTTACAGAGAGCTTGTGGTTGCTTGGATGGAACATTGCGGATGAAGATGAAAAAATATTACAGAATCAATTGGATGAAATTGGATCTGAGGTTTGAAAACAAAATATAGAACATAGGTCAAATAAAATAATATAACAAACAGAGATTAAATTGTTAAGGTAATAACAAAATATTATCATGGTCAATTTGATTGTGTTGCGCATCATGTTTAATATTCACTTATTACAATAAGGGGCGCTTCGGTAGTACTTGTACCAAGATGACGCACAACCTGAACAACCCTGACCTGGTACACATAATATTTTCAGGTTGTGCTGAATCTTGGTACGAATACTTCAGGAGCACCCAATAAGGTTTATTTATTTTCCAATAAATAGAGCAATATAAAGCAATGTGAATTTTTTAATCCCCAAATTGTATGTTTAT